TTGTTTGAAGGGGGGGGGGGGGTTGAGGGGGATTAATGGCAACGTGTCTTCCCCCATCATCATTTTAAAAATGTGAACGCTGTGTATGGTTATGCCTCATCCTCTGGAAATTTAACAGGCACTGAATTGTTAATACTGCTACAGCATACAGGCTCCTGGTCTAAATGAATCACCTTAGAAATGGGGGCAGGTAGCTGGGCATGGTGGCGCACACCTGTGATCCCAGCACTCAGGAGGCTGAGGCAGGAGGATCGCTGCGAGTTTGAGGTCAGCCTGGGCTACATAGATCAGGGCCAGCCTGAACTACAAAGGGAGACCCTGTTTTTTTAAAAAAAGGTGGAGGCCAGACAGAAATGGGAGCCAGGCTGCCAGACAGCAGACACAGGCTGGGGAAGGGGACGGCGCTCTCCCAGGTGGCGGGCAGTGCCTTGAGCATGTCCTGTGGGCAGGGCCCTTTGTGAGCACTCTCGGGCTCAGACTCAGCTGCAGTGGGAACCCGCTACTGAAGAGCCCAGGCCTGGCGCTCTTCGAAAGTCTCCAGGTGTTTCCAGGGACCAGTCATAGAAGAGAAAGGCAGCCAGGCCACTGCAGTAGGGCCTGAGGCTGCCCGCTAAAGGCGTGGGCCACACCGAGGGGCACTGGGGAGCACGGAAAGGTCCAGAGTCGGAAGCGGTGCTCTCAGAGCTCTGACTGCAGGAGCCAGGCTGGGCGGGAGAGGAGGAGGCGGAGAGCCGATGGCCGGAGCCCAGGTGGGAGTAGGGAGTGCTGGGGTTGCCCCGGAAAGGAAAGGGTGTCTGAATCCCCCGCACCCGGTACGGTGACCGGTGGCCGTGACCTTCCCGGCAGGAGGATGTTTGCAGATGTAGTCAGTTTAAGAGGAGGTCGTGGTGGAGGAGGGTGGGACCTGAGTCCAGGGACTGCGCACTCCGGGAGGCTCAGAGAGGCACAGCACACACAGCGAGGGAGGCAGCCGTGCACAGGGCAGAACTCGCAGTCGCGGCAGACCCAGTGCTGTCTGCAGACTGCCTGGGCCGGAGGAGCCCTTCTTGTCCGCCTCCTCGGGGCGGCTACCAGGAGGAACCTGGAGGCAGATGCAGCCAGGGTCCTCAGCCTCCACGGCCCCTTGCCAGGGCAGCCCAGTGACCCCGACTCATCTCCTGCTCTGCCGTCCTCGTCCAACACATTCTCCACCTGGCAGCAGGGGCGCCCTTTCAAATTGTCTATCACATTGCCGTGCTGCTGCTCATGAGCTTCCCTTGGCTCCCGTCCTTCTTGGCTAAAGTCCCTCTCATGTCCCTCAAGGTCCCCCACAGTCCAGATCATGCTGCCTCACTAACCTCATCTCCCCCATTCACTCCCTTGACCTCAAACATAGTAACCTGCTTACTGGCTGCTGAATTGGCCCATGCCTGCCTCAGGGCCTTTGCACCTGCCTTCCTTCTGCCTGAAAGGCCTTCCCTCAGATATTGGGAAGTGTGGCACCCAACCCCACTTCAAGCCTGTGTCCATATGACATCTTCCTCCTTTGGCCACCCTACTAAAAAGTGCAGCTGTGTCACTTCT